GGAGTAGTCCATTCACAATGATTTCTAAGGGAATTAGTCACATCTAACGATCTAATGTTATATAGGGAAAAAACCAGTAGACGTATAATAAATAATTACAAGAGACCCATGGGCCACAACGCTCACCTGAGTCAATATGATCCTGTTGCTCTTCGTCAGCAGATTTCTTCTCCTATATATTCATATGTAAAGCTTTGATCACCTGTCATGATTTGAACAAACTTGAATCTACACTACCTGAGGATGCTTCCATATAAATATGACTCATCATGACTTTGTTGTTCTTGAGAAGAAGATTTTTAAAGATATTTCCTATATATATTCTTTTGTAAAACTTTGATCCCCCATTATGGCCCCTCCCTATACTACTGGAGGATGCCTTGAACAAATTTGAATCTACAATACCTGGGGATGCTTCCATATCAATATGACTAATCATGGCTTTCCTGTTCTTGAAAAGATTTTTAAAGAATTTTCCTATATATTCCTATGTAAAACTTTGATCCCCCATTGTAGCCCCACCCTACCCCCGGGGGTCAAGATTTAGTAGACGTATAATAAATAATTACAAGAGACCCATGGGCCACAACGCTCACCTGAGTCAATATGACCCTGTTGCTCTTCGTCAGCAGATTTCTTCTCCTATATATTCATATGTAAAGCTTTGATCACCTGTCATGATTTGAACAAACTTGAATCTATACTACCTGAGGATACATGTTATTCCATATTCAATATTGAGAAGATTTTTCCTATATATTCCTATGTAAAACTTTGATCCCCCATTGTTTCCCCACCCTACCCTCACGGGTCATCATTTGAACAAACTTGAATCTACACTACCTGAGAATGATTCCATATCAATATGACTAATTGTGGTTTTGTTGTTCTTGAGAAGAAGATTTTTCCTATATATTCCTATGTAAAACTTTGATCCCCCATTGTGGCCCCACCCTACCCCCGGGGGTCATGATTTGAACAAACTTTAATCTACACTACATGAGAATGATTCCATATCAATATGACTAATTGTGGCTTTGTTGTTTTTGAGAAGATTTTTAAAGATTTTTCCTATATATTCCTTTGTAAAACTTTGATCCCCCACTGTGGCCCCATCCTACACCCGGGGGTCATGATTTGAACAGACTTGAATCTACACTATGTAATGAACGTTTCACGTAAGTTTCAACTTTTCCGGCTTAATGATTCTTGAGAAGAAGATTTTTAAAAGATGACACCAATTTTTCACCAATTCTTAATTATCTCCCCTTGGAAAAGGGCGTGGCCCTTCATTTGAACAAAATTGAACCCCCTTCACCCAAGGATGCTTTGTGGCAAGTTTGGTTAAAATTGGCCCAGTGGTCCTGGAGAAGAAGTCAAAAATGTGAAAAGTTTACAGACGGACGGACGGACGGACGGACAGAGAGACGGACTACAGAAAAAATGTGATCAGAAAAGCTCACTTGAGCTTTCAGCTCAGGTGAGCTAATAATACGGTAAAGCCGCCTTCAAATTAAATAGTCTGTTTTTAATTTTTTTTGTTTGTTTGCTTTATTTTTTCTTTAATATTCTATGGCTTATTTCATGAATTAGTATATATATTACTGATTCGTCTGTTGTAGAATATCTTAATTATATGACGATAAACTACTGAGATACAAACTATTGACTCATTACTGGGATAATATATTGACCATCTGGATAGTGACAGCAACAATTAAGTACGTTATTGCATTATTTCATGCTATTGGTTGTTTAAACAAATACTATATATACGTTGTTTATAAATTACTATCGAAAATTCGAATTTTGCTTTCAAAAAACTTTTAATTTATAAACAACATATAAATATACGTGTATCATATTTAAACAACCAATGGCATGAACAAATGCAATAGCATGCAATAAAATACCCATTGCAAACAATTATGAAGCCACCCGAAACTAACAATATGAGTTCCAAAGGCCACAATGATCACCTGAGTTACCTTGCCATTCTGACAAATCAATTTGGGGATAAATGAAGCCATCAATTTATAAATTCCATGATTAAGCAATTCAAGCAATAATGGTATATTGAGGATTGAGCTTAGAAATTTTAAACTCCTTATTCTTACTGAACTTTATATATTTTTGTGTAATTTTTTGACCCCCTTAGTGGCGGCTGGCCCCATCCTGGCACCATGATTTGAATAAGTTTGAATTTACGCTATATACAACGAGATAGATATAATTTACATCAATCATCCCATTTTAGCTCTAGAGGCCATGTACACTACATGGGGACGTTCATATTAATATGACTACTTCAGCTGTTCTCGAAATTTACTATATTTTCCGATGTAAAATTTTGATGACTGAATCAGACTGAATCTCCAACAAATGGGGATGTTTGCATATTAATACAAAACTGCAGTCCTGCTGTTCTCGAGAATAAGATTCTTGAAAAAGATCTGTCCAATCTATTAATATGAAAAACTTCCAATCCCTTCCTGTGGCTCATCCCTAGTTCCATGCAGAGACCAAGATTTATTTGCCCTTCGGTTTTTGAGAAGGATTTTTCTTTAGGGTATTCCATTATAAAATGGGTCCTCTTGTGTGAACCCACCCTGACCCCAGGAGTATATCGATTTGACCAAATTTGAATATTCACTACATGGGGATGTTCATATGATTGGGGCTCTTCTGTGCTTGAGTTTCTATTTTTAAAATAATCCTATATATTCCTGTCAAAAGGTTTACCTCCAATTGTGGTCCATAAATTTGATTTTACATTCAGGTTTCCTTTTGAACGCTTGAATTCACGTCATATTTTATCAGTAAAGCCTCGAGCCTTTGGCTCAGGTGAGCTAATATCGTTTTCTACAGGAATCGGATTCACACCGACTCTCTCCATTTCTTTCATTGATTTTACTATTTTAAAATCACGATAACTACATCACATATTTCCTCATTCTATCCTTGATCTATTTTCATGCAGGTAAAATATACATGTATATGCCTTCACGGAAACGTTCTATATCAAATAGACCTGCAGGTAATATACAGTACCCGGTATCGCAGGATTTCACCAAGATTTTCACTGTACATATCCACTTTAAAATCTTTCTGTGTCGGTACTGGAAAATTATCTCACATTAACGAGAAATTCTCATTACAACGAGAAAAGAAATGTTATAACAAGTGTTATTATGAGAAAATACCTCGTTATAAGGAGAAAATCTTGGTCTAGTCATGTTCATAAATTTAATTATTTACACAATATATAAATAGAGATCTAGTTTTAATAATTTACAAGGTTTATCGGCAATACTTTGGTTCAATATATTTTGTTTTTGTTCGAATCCGAGGGACTTGAATTAACTTGCCCTCAAACATTGAATCATTTTTATTAGCGGATAGAAATTAATCGCCCCATGTTACCATGGACATGACTGCAATTTACGTGACCATTACTATTATGAAAACAAAGGTCTTTACAAAGTCACGATATTTATCAAGAAATGAATATTCGTTAGGCAGTTAAAGAAGTGATGACGTCATTAAGTTAAGGTCTGAGGTATCGGGTTTGCCAACAGTGAAATCTCCCGATCATAACAGGGGGGAAGAATCGGATTTGCACGTTATTTTGCCGTTTAGCAGGTGTATTCCCGTAGTGTCGTGCTGTTTCATTAAACCATTCCACTCTTCACCAACTGCAAACAAGCTTCTCCTGTTTTCTCTCGGCACGCAACCGGATATCGTCTGATCCAAAGGCAATACCCGGAACTTGTAGGGAAAATGATTAAATATTAAAGTAACTTGCTGGTACTCTGGCAGAAATTTTTTTTCGTGTCTTTAACCAATGATTAATATTACATCTTATTCCCCAAAACACATTCTTGTCAAACAAATCTTCTAAGTAACCTATCAAAATTAATTCTTCGACGAATGCCGTATTTGTCCGACAACAATACTTTGTGCTCGAGGCCCTACTGAGATTTGACAAATTGAAACAAGAACTGAGGCTGTTAACGTGACAGTTTTAATCTTGTCAATAACAGTAAACTACTGCTGCATCTAACCAATAATCAACAGAGCCATTCCCAACTAGTGTCCGCCATAAGAGAAAGGGACAATGACGTCAATAGAATACCATTCCATAAAATGTTTATAAGACAAAAATACGGCCACAGAAATAGATTTTTCCCGGGTTGCACGTATCGTCCTTTTACCGCTTAATCAATGAAGACCAAGACCGACTAGTGCGCAGTCACTTATAGCTATTTGATTTCACGTCTTTTAGAGATAACATTTCCAAGAAAGATACCTAAACTGGTAATGTCCTTCAATGCCAATTCACCATTAGATATAAAAAATACCAGCAACATAAGGTCCCCGTAAAATAAAGTGACAGACAAGTTCCAGACCAACTTGGACAGAAAATAGCGGAAGGACCCATCAATATCTACATGCCCCAAAAATCTCGTCATGTTGGCATCAAATTGGTTTTTCTCCTTGACTTCCTGTTTATCCAGGCAGTGAGGCTTATACAAGTTGATGGTGATTTAGATGTTCTAGCTTTAATATCCTGTCATCCTGAACTACTGATTGATAAAATCGCAGTAACAGATTACAAGAGGAAGTCGTCAGCAGCTGACATCGGCATCGAGCATCAGTCGGCTGCAGTATTTACCTAGGATAGGTCACCTCTACCCGGGGCTAATGCAACTGTTTGACAAATCCATTTGTATTGTTTAATAATGTTTAATTATTCTCTCCTCTGACTAATTACTCTTTTTGTCACCGGAATTTTCTTTTTGTTACAGTTCTGTGTAAATAAATCAATGCAGAATACGATACACAACGAAAAATTCTAATGATAGAGAATCTAAAAATAATTGTGTTACTAACCCTTAATTAAATCTTTTACACATACATCGACATTGATATTGCTTTACCTATATGTTATCTACGTACATTGAACATGTTTTCAAAGAGCGACAACTCTTGAACTGCACTATCCTTTCTCTCAAGTAAAAATTTATTGCATTCTTAGACAGGTATATATAATAAGTTACATTTATAATTTAAATTGACATATGTTCAATAGAAGTCCTCCACTTCGTCTTTTTCAGACTTTTGTTGATTCTGAATCTGTTGCTGATTGTTATAAAGTTCTGCCACCTGAAAAAAAAAATCCACATCGTTTGATTTATGTTTTTAGTTTTAATATATACTGCCTTCTAGTAACTCAAATACATCTATCAAATTCTTTTCACTAGTTTACAAAAAACATTTCATACAAAATCAGCGTTAGAAGTTTGTATCTAAATTTGACTTAAAAGGAAAATTACAACTATACATTGCCACTGTAAACATTCATCCATCGACAAACACTGTCATGACCTTGAAGATTTTCCATACAAAAGGTGAGTAGCCATTGTATTATATAACCTTATAAAAGCATAAATATGTAGCTTGGTTCTTTTAAAGAAATTTTCCACACATTCCATCCCAAATCTGATACAAAATTCTTTAACATTACCTGTAACAAGACTTCATACTGACCTGTGATGCTGAAGTAGCATCCTCAGGCTTCTTGTCATCTCTGATTCGCAGAAATCTGGGGAACCTGAGAGATATACCCTTCTCTGGATCAACCTAAAATCACAGTGACTTATTGAGAAAGTTTCTTTGTAAATTCCAGAATGGGGGGAACCTGAGAGATATACCCTTCTCTGGATCAACCTAAATTCACAGTGACTTATTGAGAAAGTTTGTAAATTCCAGAACGGGGGGAACCTGAGAGATATACCCTTCTCTGGATCAACCTAAAATCACAGTGACTTATTGAGAAAGTTTCTTTGTAAATTCCATAACATCTTGTTAAATAACATGATTTTGGTTTGAAGTTTTGACATATTGCAACACCTCTACAAAACAGCTGTACAAAGCTTGAGCTGCTACACACCCTGTCTTACAAAGTTACAAGTCAAACAAGACTTTTACACAACCAACTCTTACAGCCTTCAGCAAGTGATATTGGAGCAAGTCCTCATTACTCATTTTTATGAGTGCATTTCCACATTCCTTGTATTTCTTATAAAGATAAATGAAGCCAAGAACAATGCCAAAACTTTCTAAAGAGACCTACTGGTACTCAATTTCAGCGATTAATTTTCACTACATCAAAATTTAACAGGTTCTTTAGAAGTCAAAGACCATTGCTTTATCAGTAGTGTAAATTCAACATTCAAATTTTTTTTTCCATATTTACTAATATTCAATTCAATTCAGTTTATTGACATCACCATGTTTGCATACAGTCAAAATAAGAAATCAAATGACAGATAACAGAAAAAAAAAACAAACTAACTAATAAGTAGTTAACAAATTTTCTTGATAGAGAACCATCTTGCCCCTTTTGCATAAACTTAAAATTTTCCATGGAATACCTTTAAGTTTATTATTCTATCACATTAATGGTACAAAATTTAAACTTTGATACATGTATTCATTAAAAAAAAAATCAAGCATATTCAATGAATCAAGAAATAATCTCTTTAAAAAGAGGCATGATTAAAAAGTACACATCTGAGACAGAAAATACTACATATTCCTTTTGAATGTACAAAGTGCATTTACAACATGTCCACTCCTTAGTAATACTTAAGATTCCAGGCTGTTTTTTGAGTGGAGGAATGGACACTCTAAAGTAAAAGCTAACAATTCCAGCTGCTGTTTTGCGAGTGAAGTAAAACTTACAACCCCAGTACTTGCTTTTGAGTGGGAGAAATGGACAATTCCAGTTCTGCTTTGTGAGTGGGAGATATGGACACTCTAAAGTAAAACTTACAACTCTAGCCACTGCTTTTTAAGTGGGAGGAATATACTCCGAAATAAAACTTACAACTCCAGTGGCTGTTTTTTTAGAGGGAGAAATGTATACTCTGAAGTAAAACTTTAACTCCAGTTGCTGCTTTTTTTTAGAGGGAGAAATGTATACTCTGGAGTAAAACTTACAATTCCAGCTGCCGCCTTATGAGTGGGTGAAATAGAGAGATCAGCACACTTCACCTCCCAGACTTGCACCGCATCAAACCAGTGATCCGGTTCTACAGAGGAGTCAAACTGGTAGTACGGTTTGGGCTTCTCTACCACATGCTCCTTAAAGAATGTGGCATGTTTCTCCAAGTCTGCATCAGTGAACCCTGTCCCAATCTGTCAAGTAACCAAACTCTATATAGCTGATCCAAAAAGAGGTTTTGGCTTAACAATGAATACTTCAAATCCAGCTTTGTGAAAATTTACAGATTACATTTGATTACATTTACTTTAGGTATACCAAATTACACTACAAGGAACATTCTAAGTAAATGTCTCCTTGTGTACAAGTTTTTTCTGTTGTATACTCTATGAAACATTTAAGCAGCACTGAAATAAATCTTACAAGTAAAACAAGAAGTCTGTGAGCCAATGTTCACTAATAATACCCCAGCTCTGATGTAAATACACAAGTTCAACTATGGACAGACACAGGGATAAACAGGAAGTTGACATCAGATTCGTAAAAAATAAATTCCGCCATATGACATGCCTAAACGAAGAGTGTGATAAACACTCAAGCATCTGCGATAAGTAGATGCTGAGAAAATTGCGACCAAAATTTGTTATGTATGGTACGGACAGACGCATGGATAAACAGGAAATTTTGCACAAAAATGAATCCCACCATATGGCATGCCTAAACAAAGAGTGTGCTAAAATTTCAATCATCTGTGATGAGTAGTTGCTGAGAAAACTGCAACAAAAATTTGTTATGGACAGACACACGGACACACACACAGCTAGACATGTGTTGCTTGCAGTTTGTTTCAATACAAGACAACTGACATACTTTGCAAATAGATTGGAACTCTTCATTTTCTTCATCATAACATCCTAGAAGAAATCCTCCATATCGCCCAGTCCTCTTTCCTGTTCCTAGGAACCCCCCCATCACTACCAGGTCCAGCGTATCCCCCACACCATCCAGGTAGTCTTTCTTCAGCTTAACGTGAGTAAAGCAGAGTAGATCAATATCAAAAGAACAATTCAATATATCAGCAATGCATCAGATAAACGGTGTTTCAGCAATAAACTTGTTTCATTATAAAATGTTTTCAAATTTAAACCAATAAAATTATCAAACTTTTAATTAATCAAAAATGCTTCAAGGTTTTCCTTTCATTTGTAGCTCTAGTTTACTGACAAAATGGGGCTAAAAAGTAAAATACATGTATTGATATCTCAAGGTAAGCTATGGGAAATCTCCAGGAGAAGCTTTATAAATATCTGTGAACATGTTACTGGTTGTGTGAAATGTCTGTTAAAATAGAATTTCTTTCTCAAATCTAGATAGCACAAACTCTATGTGAATTTCCAAAATTAAGACATAGCCTCTATCTTGTGCAGCAGAATTTATTTTGCCAGTGCCTACAATGACATGGGATTTTGGTTTTCAAGTTCTCGATCAAAAGACGTTTGACTTTAATGAAAATTTAAGCCCAAGTTCAGATAAATATACACCGATTACTGTAAAATTACACATTTTTGTAGGGTCAAATTTTTGTGGTTTGAAGGAAAAAATATGGATTTCGTGGATGAAGAATAGTTGAATAGTAGTATATGTGAACCAGAAGTCTCTGACAAGACTGTAACTCTACTGTTTGTACTTATAAAGGAAGAAAAAAGTAGCACTTGGACTTGAAACTTTGCAACAGCAATAAACAGAATAATGATCCTTGGTTTAGTCTCTTTTTTGTGGCAAGATTTATTGCAATCAGACTAAAACTATCGGAGGAGTAGCCTTTTAAAACAATTTTACAGAAATTTGGATTTAAGTAACCTTTATGACATCATTCAACAAATTCAAAAAACAATATCGAAAATTATGTATCTCAGTGTAGTCTACTTGTATGCCAAGTTATACTGAAATCAGACAAAAAGTGTAGGAGGAGTAGCATTTTGAATGTATTTCACAGAAATTTCTATTTCTAGTAACCATGGCAACACTGTTCATTGAAATCCAAAACTGGTACATGTATAGACAATTATGTATCCAAGTGTAGTCTACTTGTGTGCCAAGTTATACTGAAATCAGACCAAAGCTGTAGGAGGAGTAGCATTTTGAATGTATTTCCAAGAAATCTCTATTTTTAGTAACCATGGCAACACCGTTCATTGAAATCAAAAAACGATATCCAGAATTATGTATCTTATTATAGTCTACTTGTGTGCCAAGTTATATTGAAATCAGATCAAAACTGTAGGAGGAGTAGCGTTTTGAAAGTATTTCCCAGAAATCTCTATTTTTAGTAACCATAGCAACACCATTCATTGAAATCAAAATCAGATATACAGAATTATGTATCTTAGTGTAGTCTTCTTATGTGCCAAATTATATTGAAATCAGACCAAACCTGTAGGAGGAGTAGCGTTTTGAAAAATTGTTTACAGACGGACAGACAGACAGACAGCTAGATGGACGGACATACGACGGACACCTTATTATCGCATAAGCTCTTCTGGTCTCTGACCAGTAGAGCTAAAAATTACATTTCGAGGTGGACATAAATTTGTTGGTTTCTTCATACCTAGAAACCAATGAAAATTAAACTCCTACAAAAATCTGTGATTTCACAGTAATATTATTTTTAAATACATGTAAGTAAGTGATACCTTGAGCCAGTTGTGAGATCTCTTTGCTATTTCATAAGTAGCATCCACATCTAAAGTCTTCACCATCAGTCCCTCACAGTTTCCTGGAAAAATTTGTCGAGTACATGTATTACCATATTGATACCAGAGTGTATGGGCATATGATATACAATTTAGCTAAATATCAGCAATAATAATTAGCAATTAATAGCAAAATTTTTACTCTAAACATTTCTTCAAATTCTCCAAATGAATATTTCAGAGATCAGAAGCACTCATGTTTAATACACATACCTTTAATGGATTCATCTAGAAATTCTGCAATTTCATCTGTGTTTGACGATATCATTGATTTGGCAAACATAAACTCTCCCTCCACTTCCGTGAAGGAGGCATGTAGAAGTTCTCGTCTTTTCCTGAATGGCTCCTTCACCAGAGATTTTCCATTTAGGTAGAGCAAGTCAAAGGCATACACACACACCTGGATCTTTATCTCAGAAGCATCAGCATCCTGACAATCAATCAGCCTTATGATCAACAATGCAAACCAATCACAACTTTTTGCAAAATTATCTCAATTAACTTTCCATCCTATATCTTGAACAATTTTTTTCGTGTTTAATTCTGCTGATTTAAAGAGCATGTTTAGAATTACCTTTCTTTTCCTGTGACTTAGAACTTGGAATGGCTGAATCTGTTTTTTCTCTGCATCCCAGGCAACAGCTTCTGAGTCCAGGACACAGGACAGCACGGATTCGCTCTTCACCTTTGGTATCCGTGCAATGATGTCTGGGTATTTACTTGTATTATCCTCGGAGTTTCTGCTGTAGATGTGAACTTCTCCATTCTCTAGAATGTGGATCTACAAGTAAAAAGAATGACATTACAGAGTTAATAAAAAGAAATACATTGTAGGTATCAACTTCATTGTCATTCATATAGTCTTTTTAATTCAAAAGATAGTTCCCACGATTTTCTCTAACATATACATGTATAATTCCTATATGTAAGACAGCTCCTATCCTGGATTGAGGGCCAATTTTGACAAACTTACATCTACATTACATGAGAATGCTTGCATATTAATTTGGGGGTAGTATACGACTTGAGCTTTGAGATAAGCTGTCTACCTGCGCTCTTTCTCCATCATATTTGTATTCACACGTGAAGTCTGCCTCATCAAATCGCTTAAAGACTTCACTGACTCCTTTTGTAGGATGTGCTAACATAGGCTTCAAGGGAACACCTACAAAATTCAGTCTTATGTCAGCAAGTGAATTATATAAATATAGAATGAATTATTTTTATTCCTTATTCATTTCCTCAGTTCTTACCAGGGGTAAGTTTGCAATGGTTTGGTAAATCCTCTATACCATACTTAATCATGGCTGGAATGATTGCTTCATAATTTGGACATTCACTGTAAGTATGAAAAAGATAGTTGAGGAACAAAGTTAAATGTAAACATTTCAGAAGAAAAACTTAACAGGAATTCTGAATGCTTTTACCAATAAGTTGTTTTGATTATAAGTGCACATTCCTCCATTTTCTTCTTTAGAGCATCTGCACCAAGGCCTTTACCAGCATCTATCACTTCTGGTGGGAAATCTGAAAATCATGACAAGGGAAATTCGTCAACCCAAAAACAGAGAAAAGTGGTCATGAAATATACTACAAAACATTAAAATAGCCAGGTTTCTGTGCTATTCTTCCATTTTGTGTGTGTCATAAATAGGGATGTTTATTGACAAAAATTTTGCATCAGGATATATCATGATTTTTTCCAAAAATATCATGATAATATTATGGTATTTTTACAAGCAATTTTTTACTATGATTTTAAATGAATATCAATAATTTTTCTAACATGTATGGTGCGACACTTGACTCCACTTTTTCAATTTTTTAAAATATACTATTAAAGCATGTTTGGATGTTAGGATGCTGTTGTTTTACAACATTTTTCACACTTCCGGTAACAGTTCTTCAAAAGTTTGAATGAATAAACAAATAATTTTATCGTGCATCCTTAGCCATGAATTTGCAAAAGGTTATTCTAACAGTACCAACCTTGCCCAGGTGGAGTCCTAAATGCAGCATTTCCCAGAGCTGTTAACACACTCTGTTCTGCTAGACCAATTCTGAGCTTCCCCCCTAGTGATCGGATTAGATATCTTGCCTCACACTGCCGACATGCTACAAACATTCCCTTGATCTTCTCAATCTTCTTTGTCATGGCCTGTAAAATTGAATGATAGTGCATAGTTGCCAACTCACCCAATTTTTCGACCCATGACCAAATTATTTTTCATGACATGGCGGATCATGCTTTTCACCTGATTTTCGCCATACTCAAAAATCTCCCAATTTTAGGATTTGGTTTGTAAATTAGTTCATACCTGTAATTTCCATTTATTAACCCAAGCTAAGATCTACGTAAACATAAACAATGTCAATAGCTATGTACTGTATAGGTAAATGTTTACAATTATCTGGGAGTTGTTATGACAAATTGAAGTTTGAAGTCATTATAAAATGGCTTCCGATAGGACAAGATCATTATCAAGGCAAGCAGGAACAACACTAACAAAAACAAAATTTATGTACATATCAAAGAACTTTCATTGGATGAAATAAAGTGATCAACTATAGTACAGTGCCCTCTGTCCAATGCACGGCACACTGGACTTTCCAACCTCATATTTTATTCCCAAAAATTTCTACATAATTTATATTGAATAAAACACTGTACATTCCGACCACTGTACATTCTGAATTCCGGCGCCTTTTTGTCATCAAAACTAGATAATTACATTATGATTTCACCTGGGTAATCTGAATAATTACACAGGTGTACCGTAATTAGCCGCTGGCCAGATAACATGAATGTTTTTTAAACCCAATTTTTCACAAGGAATACTAATTTCAGCTCAATTTTGTGATTTGTAACCTTTTTTTATCGATTTTGTTGATTGCTTATATTATATTGAACACTGCCTTCAGTGGCACCTATTTAGCACCATATTCACAGGGACTGGTATACTAAAGTGTTCCCTATTTTTAATAGCTGAAAAACTGGCAACTATGATAGTGTCTATGTAAATATACATGTAAGACATATAATATGCACCTCAATATTGATCAGGTTGCCTTGTAACTCTTTAAATAAAAAAAAAATCCAACTATCTGCAAACCATAGTCATATTAGATATCTATCTGCAGAAATACAACTTGCACAACCTACCAGTAGAAATACATGTACTACCTACCAGTAGAAATACAACATGTACTATCTATGTGTAAAACTTCATACTTTACCTACTGGACATACTTACAGCATTACCAGACATGGCAGCTATCTCCTTCAGCTTACTAAACACAGCTGGTACAGTCAGTTTTGGTGGAGCAAACATAGTCCTCTGAGAACTCCGGCTTGTCTAAAAGAGATTTTTTAGTCAAGCAACGACCTGTGAGGTGACGAATGTATAAATATATCTCTCAAACTGACTCCCTCTTACCTCAGCCACCAAACCCAGATCGCCTTTCTCCTGAGCATCAGCCTTAATCTTGTCCAGGCCTCGACCTGTAACAACACACAAGATTTGGAAACAACTCAAAATAATTATAATCTCAAACATACCCTATCAGCTTTGATAATTTCAAAGATATTCCCTTTGTTTTACCATGTATACCTTATCCAGGGACATTCTGAGACAATGTACAGTGGTTTAAAAGTTAATCATTTTCAGAAGTACATGTATTAGAACAATACACTATAATGAACAAAAACTGATAAGAGTTAGTCATCTTATTAACTTCTGTGACCTACAAACCCATCATAATTTTAATCTTTGGATCTTACTTGTTGCCTGGGTGATGGCATTTATCAGGATCGTCTCCCCTTGGCCCAGCTCCAGTCCCTGGTATGCTGGGGCTTATTTGTTTAGACATAGGTATACACACTGCACAACTTACCTGTTGCCTGGGCAATGGCTTTTATCAGAACTGTCTCCCCTAGGCCCAGCTCCAGTCCCTCGTATGCTGGGGCTAATTTGTTCAGACATAGGTATACACACTGAACAAGGTCACCAGAGCTCAGAACAATCACAGAACGCAGAAAGTTACACAAGATTTCTATTGTCTTCAGCCTGAAATTGTACACATTTTCACTTACTCATATTCTGGTAAACAGTGCTAAGATACAGTACTCTAATCAATTCTCTTTCCACTTTTTTTTATAACAAATTTTTGACAAACCAGAAATCTCTGAAGAGACCCTAGCTCTTCTGGTTTGGACTTATTACATTGAAAGCTAGATATCAAATACTCTTTGTTTACATTTATAAAATAATGTATCTTTCTGTTTTCTATAGTTACAATGCCATTTAACATTCTGACATCATTTGCTTTTTTGTGAGAGTCAAAGAATTGCTTGTGCAATGCCAGGTATGACAGCTAATGTAAGATATTCAGTTTAAGTTTGCTCCCACTAACCTACCAAAGCTTTATGTCAAAATGGATGGAAAATGCTGAAAAACACATTGACAGACAGGGACAGATAACAATTGGTCACTTGGCTCCAGACTTACCTTTCTGAGATGTTTTCTATTGCCTCAAAGACTTACCTTCCTGAGATGTTTTCTTTTGCCCCAAAGACTCACCTTCCTGAGATTTTTTATATTGCCTCAAAGACTTACATTCCTGAGATGTTTTCTATTGTCTCAAAGACTTACCTTCCTGAGATGTTTCCTACTGCCTCAAAGACTTACCTTCCTGAGTTGTTTTCTATTGCTTCAAAGACTTACCTTCCCGAGATGTTTTCTATTGCCTCAAAGACTTACATTCCTGAGATGTTCTCTATTGCCTCAAAGACTCACCTTCCTGAGATGTTCTCTATTGCCTCAAAGACTCACCTTCCTGAGATGTTTCCTATTGCCTCAAAGACTTACATTCCTGAGATGTTTTCTATTGCCTCAAAGACTCACCTTCCTGAGATGTTCTCTATTGCCTCAAAGACTCACCTTCCTGAGATGTTTTCTATTGCCTCAAAGACTTACCTTCCTGAGATTTTTTATATTGCCTCAAAGACTTACATTCCTGAGATGTTTTCTAGTGCCCCAAAGACTCACCTTCCTGAGATGTTTTCTATTGCCTAAAAGACTCGCCTTCCTGAGATGTTTTCTATTGCCTCAAAGACTCACCTTCCTGAGATGTTCTCTATTGCCTCAAAGACTCACCTTCCTGAGATGTTTTCTATTGCCTCAAAGACTTACCTTCCTGAGATGTTCTCTATTGCCTCAAAGACTCACCTTCCTGAGATGTTTTCTATTGCCTCAAAGACTTACCTTCCTGAGATGTTTTCTATTGCCTCAAAGACTCACCTTCCTGAGATGTTCTCTATTGCTTCAAAGACTTACCTTCCTGAGATGCTTTCTATTGCCTCAAATGTCTTTGCCAGAGCCAGGTAAGGAACTCTATAAAAAATCCTCAACTTAAAGAACTGTTAAACAGTGTTAAAGATCATAAATACACATACATTTCATTTCAATCATATCATTTGAATGAATTACCTAAAAAAAAACTTAGCACTATACACGACTCACCATAAAATTAGCTGGACATTCAGAGCTGATTGCTATGAAAGTTGTCAGCCCTGCCAAAAGATCTACTTGCCTGAGAAAATAATTGCCTTTTTCAAAAAATATTAGTTGTTACGTCATCTGCCTTGGGCCCGGCAAAAGTTATTCAAAAGAGGCCTCAGCTCTTCTTTGACTTAAAGGACTCTATCAGCATAACTTTGATCCCAATTACACAGACTGACAAGTTCTGCCATTTGACCTGTTAAGGTTCGCTGTCAGTACATTTAGTTGATTTGAGACAGATTTATCAAATATTTAATTAGTAGAAATTTTAATATGTCCAGCCAGGTGTTGGTACAAGTAAATTTGTTTGCCCATGGCTTAATTTAGGTGTATCGGGTGGAGAGGTGTAGTTATTTTAAACATATAGACATCTGCCATTTTGGTCACAAATTTAAAATCTATTTCAGATATTCATCCTTTCAGTGCTAGGTAACTGATTGTCTTACTTTTCTCCTTGTTTCCATACAGCATCATCAATAGGATGATAATTTGTTTTTGCTGGATTATACCCCGTGTCTTCTTCCTTTTTACCAGATGATAAAGTCTTCACACTGTGTGATTAATCAGAATTACAGATTAAAAGTGTGTTTATTTTCATGAAAAAAATTCTTTTAAACTATAAATGGTAACTATCATTGCAAATTTTTAAAAACAAAAAAAAAAAAAAAAAAAAGTCTGCTATAAATTTTTTTTTTAATTTTACAGAAACATAAATACATGGATTGGTTCACATTTAAACACAGGGAATAGAATATTGTGACTAGACAGATAATTTATATTCAGATGATTAGAACAGTTTTAATCTTGACCTTCAAGATCCAGGTCATGGTCAAAACACACTGTGCTAAAGTAATGCCAAATTTTTTAAATGACTGATTCTTGCTAAAAGACAAATTCTCTTATTCTTTTTTGTTCTTGACAAAGCATATTTCAGATGAGATACAATTAGTCAAAGAATAATTGGAATGGAAACTTGAAATTCTCTCTGAGAAAACAAAATGCTCATTAACAATGATCATTTCTTAGTTTTAAATATCATTACCGTATTAATTTACTGAAATCAATAGTAACACAAAAAGATACAAATAGAACCGTAAGATTTTGATGGAAACTCTGAACATCAAAGTCCTAATAACTGATCTAGTTATCTCGTTTTTGTAAGTCTGGTCTGGGGCTGAGAGAATCAAATGACATCACCAGCAGACCTGGCCATTACCGAGGTCTGCCATACAAGCAAGTCAACACTCACTAAATGGTGAATTAGAGAAATAAAGCTAAGACTGCAGTCATCACTATGTAACAGCTGTCAATTCAAAATGGAACAATAAATTTCATTATCACTCACAAGTGACATTTATTTGGTGCTAATTCATTTTTCAAGAGGATGTTGAAAATGAAAGAATCTGATTAAATACTGCTAAAGGTAAGAATATTTTATTTAATGTAACACATGATGTCTTGAGAAACATGTTTCCTCTATATTCAAAACTGATTTTTTAACCTCAGGAAAAAAAAAAATTCGATTTTATAATTATCAGCTGGTTAAAGTAAATTATTTGTTTATTATTATGAATATTCCAGCTTCAATTTCTGGTAATCTTTGCATTTAATGACAAATAAATTAATGAATACGTAGCCTGAGTATAAATTTTTGTAGTTCACTGTCAATTGCCTTCAAGGAGAACCACTATAGGATTCAAAAGATTTGGGCTTTTTCCAATTTTTCATTAATTACGAAAACTTGACTCTTATTTAGTTAAATATTCAACAAGAGGGAAAACAGGGTCCATTTTCCAAATTTTAATCATTACATTCTTATCCTTCATAAAATAACATTAAAACAAACTTTTATGCCAACTTGTGGCACATTTTTTCTTAATATCATAAAAGATAAACAATTGCAAATTGTTTTTCTTTCAATATTTCTTTAATATTCTTGGGAAAAAAAAACAAAAAAAAAAAAACAAAAAAAAAAACAAAAAAAAAATTAGAGAGAATTTTTACACATGAGCCAAAGAAAAAGAGATATTTTTAAAGTTAATATTTGAAAATATGCTCTTATCTAAGTACAACATTTAAAGCATGAACAATGCAATACATGAGAAATCCTTTAACTTATGTTTGATCCACCTATTAATGGCTGAAATGAAACCAATCAAGCTCTCCTCCTTGTGTTTATTGAATGTAATCCCCCTGGATATTGTTCCCATAGGAACTGCTGACAATGCAGATGGTGACCACTCTGTTTCTCCTATCTCTCCCTGTCCTGAAGGCTAAGCCAGGAAACATGATCATCAGGAAAGGAGACTACTGCTCCGGCCCCCCAGGTATGCCAGGGGCTCCTGGCTTACCGGGACACAATGGGGCCAATGGTCTACAGGGAGAGAGGGGCCCAAAAGGGGAAAGGGGTGACTCTGGACAGCCAGGGATTCAAGGTATTGATCTGAACAAGATACAGACCACCACCATCTGATAATTTGTTGACTTAATTACTTTTTGATTTTAAAAAGAAATCTACATAAAAAAAAACTAATTTAAATCTTTAATATATTACTTGATTCTTAAGACAAGTCCCTGTTTTACAGGTGTGCAGGGCTTGATGGGACCACCAGGTAAAATGGGTGAAAGAGGCAGAAGAGGGAAAAAGGGGGATAAAGGAGAGAAGGGGCAGAAGGGAGAACCAGGGAGAGTAGGGACTGAAGGAAGACTAGGGCCCAAAGGGCAGAAAGGTTAGTGGTAGTGGGACTGGACCATTAAAGATTAATACTGTTTGCAGTACATATGGGTTAGTATCACCACTGTGGCCAGTACAGATAAATGTTTCAGTACATGGGGACAATGTGATCAGCTCAGAAAGGTCAGTATCTGTATGTGGCAACATTGTGACCAGTACAGAAAGATCAGTATCATATGTAGGGACATTGTGACCAGTACAAAAAGGTCAGTATGGGCAACATTGTGACCAGTACAGAAAGGTCAGTATTAATATGTCTGAAAAATGTGACCTTTACAGAAAGGTCAGTATCCATATTTGGGGACAATGAGGCTAGTACAGAAAGGTCAGTATATGTGGAGACATTGTGAACAGTACAGAAAGGTCAGTACTGGTATGTCAGGATACTGTGACAAATACAGAAAGGTCAGTAACATCGTGACCAGTATACAGAAAGGTCAGTTTCCATATAAGGGGACATGAACAATACAGAAAGGTCAGTATCAATATGTGCTGACACAGTGGCCTGTATAGAAAGGTCAGTATCCACATGTGGGGACATTGTTACCAGCACAGAAAGGTCAGTATCCAGTATGAGGGGACATTATACCAGTACAGAAAGGTCAGTATTATTATGTTGGGACACTGTGACCAGAACAGAAAGGTCAGTATATGGAGACATTGTGACCAGTACAGAAAGGTCAGTATCAGTATGTGGAGACGTGACCAGTACAGAAAGGTCAGTATGTGGTGACATTATGATCAGTTCAGAAAGGTCGGTGTCAGTATGTAGAGACACTGTGACCAGTACAGAAAGGTCAGTGTCAGTATGTTGGGACATTGTGACTAGTACAGAAAGGTCAGTGTCAGTATGTTGGGAGATTGTGACCAGTACAGAAAGGTCAGTGTCAGTATGTCAGGACACTGTGGCCAGCATAGAAAGGTAGGCACTAATCACTGATACAAATCAAGTGCGTGCACTTTCTTTGGTACAGAAATGTCTAAGTGATTAAATTAGGCATTCACCTCTGAAGATAAGGTTCTGTGACATCATCAGCACTATGTCTAGTTTAATTCATTATGTAACCACCTTGTGTGATAAAGATCTGCATCAATGTGTTTGGACATTTGACTGAATCAGAAAGGTCAGAATCAAACAAAGTATTTTTCCAAACTTGTTGGGCTACAACATGAATTTGTAAATTGTAATTTGAGCAGTGATCCAAACTGATGACAAATTCCGAGGAAAAGACAGACAAGGACATTTTCTGTAAATGAAAACAAGTAACACAGGATCTGTTTGTAAAATACTATGTCCTTAGCATTACTTGTTACAACTCTCTATTTGATTTTTGACCTCTGATTATGTGACTGAATGTTGCACTTCACAGAGCAGGAGTTATAAGTGAGGTATTCTTCTGTTGGGTAAAAAAAGATGACAGAGGTAAACATTAGAGAAAGACAAAAAATGAGAGAGATATAAAAACAGCATATTTATCTTAGACCTTAATTCACAGTGGAAATGCATGTGTATAGTACAGTAGGACAAAAGCTAAATTTTTCCTAACTTTCATAATGCCAATTCTTAATGTTTCACTAAATACAGACTATCAATATTACATATAGATGACTTTAAATTAACTTCATTAAATAAGTTGAAATGTATATGGACTTTTTTTTTTAAACTCAGGTGAGCCCTCAGTTCTCCCACCCTCAGTAGCCTTCTCTGCCAGTCGGACCTCACCCCTGGGGCCAGTACGGGAGGACACCATCATCACCTATGACCAGGTTTTCTTGAACTTGGGGGAATCATTTGACATCTTCTCCTCTCACTTTGTATGCAAAGTAAATGGAACCTATCTGTTTACAGCTCATGTACTGGGGATGTTGGACTATGATGCATATGCATGGATCATGTTTAATGGGCAGCCAATGGTTCCGATGCATGGAGATCATCGGGCAGGTTACGGAACAGGAAGTAACTCGTTAATAATTCATCTCGTTAGTGACGATCATGTGTGGGTGCAGCTAATGAAGAACTCCTCTTTGTTAAATGACTATTCAACCTTTTCTGGTTATTTAATTTACAAGGATGTTTGATGTGCTAATCAGCTGTTTCACTGAAAATCACTATTGTTTTTATTACTCTAGATTCCCACATATACGTGAAGAGTTTATTATCATGTTATTTTGAGAAAAACACCACTCGCAAAATTAAATTACTTCCTTTTATTTATATATCACTGGAATATATGCAATATAACAGAATTAACACTCCACACACAAATTTAAGTTCTTGCAATTTGATGTGTGTGAGTCATTTTGCATTATTAAGTACTCACAAAAAATAATGAGTCTACAGTAAAAATATTGGGTAGAGAGAGAGAATCGAAATTTAGTTACCTTTTGTCATCAGTTTTCTTTCCTTCTTTTGTGGAATCTTCTGTTTTAGGTTCAGTTTTTGGTGCTTCAAGAAAAAGATTGCATTGCATTCATTTTTTGATACATAAATTATGTAAAATTGAAGTTTATTTCAATGTTTGTGATGGTTTTCAATGTCAATGTCAATAAAATTATTTATATAAAGGCCTGGCCCCAAAATCAGATTGCAGAAAATAATGACCCTGCTGTTCATGAGAAGATTTTGAACATTTTTCCCTATTAATACCTACATATAACTTTGACCTTGTGGCCCCTTTGGCTACAGGGATCACTATTTAAACAAACTTGAATTCACACTACCTGGTAAAAATAACATTTTTTTTTGACAAATTGTACCCTACTGCTCTTCAAATGAAGATTTTTAAAAATATTTCCAATTTACTTCAACCATGTATTGTGGCCCAAACCTCAGCCCTTCTTGATACTTCAACATGTAAGCTTACATATAGTATCTTCAATGATTTATGGTTGGGTATGATTTTTATCCAACATGTGTTTTCTATCCCCGAGCCTTGAAAAGGGAATAAAAAAATACACATTGTTTTTTAGACTTTCAATATATATTCCACATATTTTTTTTAAAAAGATTTTCAATACATGTATATATTCCACCAAGATTTTCAAAGACTTTAAATACATACATGTATTCCATAATGATTTTTAAAGACTTTCAATATATTCTTATCTTTTAAATTTTGACCTTTAATTGTGGATTCACCAGAGGTCCTAGAGATCATGAAGAATTTAACCAAATCTACATTCAATATGAAAAAAAAATCACTATGATTTCAAACAAATTAACTTCCTCTGTAAATGTTACATTTTTTTAAACAATGAATTAGCTGAATTTCACAATTTTCATAAGAATATTATAGAACAACCAAATTTTTGTGACACGGTATTTTTGCACAATAGAATAAATTTTCATGAATTTTGGTTATTTCTGTGTACAATATTTAGTAATAAAAATATAACCAAGAATAAAATTTTAGTAAGCACACAACATCTCATAATTATGCCAAAATAGTTAATGTGAATAAGAAGTGATTTACAATAAGCAAAAATACTTTAACACAATTTGACAGTACTTTATTTTCAATTGATCATAAGATGATAATAGATCAAATCAAAGGTAGAAATGCACTTCAAAAATAAGGGCTCAGTCACACCTAACCAGCTTTAATGGACATCAAACGGATATAAAATTTTTCATCCATTTTTCTCCTTTCAAGGATGTTAAAAGCTTGGAATGGACATGACCCGACAAAGACGCTTGGTTTAATTTTGGTTGTTTCTTTTAAAGTACATTACGTGTGTGTTTGTATATATTTTGTACAGAACTCATGTCAAACGTTTCCTGTAAGTGACCAGTCTGCTTTTGTTGATGTCTGCTGGACCTGAATCGCAAACAGACAAAAAGTCCAGTAAACGGGCTTCAGATACTTACCATGACTGTTACTCTAACTTTGAAAACTGTTTTATCAGTTTCTCATTCCTACACAGTACTCATTCATTACTGAAATGGTAGAGTTTGTTACTTGTCATCTTTGTATTACCTATGCCGCCCTGCTGCCTCTGTTTTCTCATTTAATGTCCTTTAGCCCTATCTGGTAAGCTTTAACTGAGCCCAAACAGTTCTTTCTGTATATAAATTTCAGCTTATGAATTAAAATTTTGATCATACCAAAGAAACTATGAAATGCTTTTTGTGGCTTTTTATTCCCAGATTCATCTTCTGTCTTTGTATCTACAATGCCAAAAAATAAGTTTTGTAATGGTATATGTATTTTGTTTACAAAAATAATTTAATCAGTGCTTCTTCAAAGTCACCTTACTGACCTTTTTCCTCATCTGAAGGTTGGCTTTTCTTGGACTTTGTCTTATCCTCTTTCCTGGCTGCAGTTTTCTTGGTTTTTGGAGTTTTCTTTGTTTTTTTGGATGAGGATACCTTTTCGGTTTTCTGTTTAGACAATAAATTGTGTCACTTAATAACCTATAAATTTAGTTTGAGACATTTAACTCAAGTAATTTATATGTCACTTGATATTCATATATAACACCTTAGTGTCCTCTGTCTCCATGTCCTCTTCCTCCCTATTATCCTCCACTTTTCCCTCTACTTTGTCCTCTAATTTGTCCTCATCTTCCTCCTTCTCCTCTGTTTTGTCGTCCTCTACATTTTCTTCCATAACTTCTGTTTCTATGTCCTCTTTGTCAGACATGTCCTTTGATTTATTTTCAGGTTTTTTGTCCTCTTCCTTGATCTCTAGTTTAGGTTTCTTGGCTGGAGATTCACTACCAGGACTGAACACAAGGCTTTTCTTCTTGTTATTTGGTGTTGTCATGCTTTTCCTTGCTGTAGAAAACTTTCATTACTTAAAGCTTTTCATATTCAGTATTATTTTTTTATAGGTAAGAAATCTGTACAGTATATAAATACCTGTTTTTCTGACTGGGAGGCCAAAGGGAGACTTCACAGGGGATTCTGACTTCTCTGTTACAGAGCTGGTTGTTTTCTTTTCCTCAACTCCATTGACCTATAATGAATAAAGTATTGTATATGATCCTTTATTTTCAAAGAAATAATGAAGCATATAACAGAATTATAGTAACACTTTTCAGTAAATGTTAATTTACCTTTTCTTTCTGAACTCTAGCATTTTATTAGACATCATATTAAAATCTAATGTTTTAATTTAGAACTACCTTGAGTGGTTCTGGACTGTTTTTCTGGTTTTCCTCCTCGGAATCACGAGTACACCTATCTACCTCCTCCTCTTCGTCACTCTCAATGATCCGACATTTCCTCCCCTTTCTCGACACTTTCACTGGTGAGTCCTTCACAGGGGAAGTCTTCACAGGAGATCCATTGTTTTGCTTCAGGGGAGAACGTTCCTCTTTAACTTCATTATCAATCACACTAACATAAAACAATTAAAAAAAATTATTCAGAAAAATATATTACCTGGTATATAAATATACTGAAATTGTCTTAAATATGTTGCTTGCATGGATTTCTTGTACTGCATATTTTAAAAACAATGAGAAGTGAATTTTTTGTAAACTTAGTTTGTAGTAAATACATCTACAATTCCAGTACATTAAGGACTTCATGATATTCCCATTTATAGATTACCTAAAGTAATTTCTTAAACTGACCAAAAAAAAACAAAAAAAAACCTACCTTTTGGTAGGCTTGGCATCATCCTTCTTGGGCTTTGGAGATGTGAAAAAAGATCTGAAAAAGAAAATTATCAGTGAAAAATGTGATCTATAAGAAAAATATCGTTTGGTCATTGCAACTGTTAAACCAGCATTAACCACCTTGTATCAAATGAACAGCTAGTTATTCCCTAAATATTATACCTTTTAACTTTTTTAATAATGTATTTTATAAAATTTTTATTATCAGCAACATTTTATTATAATTTTGTGTGTGGTCAAATTTAATACTTTTTTTCTATGAAAATTGACCCCAACTAGAAAACACAAGGGTCATAGGTGTTGATTACCCTGCTTGACTCAGTAAAATTACCTCGGGCACTTGTAACCTGATTTTATCGACATTGAGTAACCCATGTTTTATTTTTTCTTCAAAGAACGAGTGCACTTATGGGCCCCGGTAAAATGTGAAACATAGGTAATCAAAGATTACGAAGCTCACCTCGACGAATGTTATCTACATCTAAGGCAAATTTCACATCATATTTTTTTTCTAGTTAGGGTACATCCCAAGATCAATGTCCATGCAAGTTTGATTTAATTATAGACCTGCTCAAAAAACTTTTGACCTGTTTAGTAATCAAGAAAATTTTGGTCACTTCCAACATCCAAAGCAAGTCTGGAAGTTTTCATCCTTAGATGCACCATCTATGCAAGTTTAATCATAACAGGCCATAATATTATATAGCTACTCCAAAAAATTACCCTGGTCACTCATCTGGAAAATGTACATCAGATTCAGAATCCAAGGCAAGTCTGGAAGTGTCCATCCCTAGATACATCATCCATGCTAATTTGGTTAAAATATGGCTAAAATTCACTCATGTGGAAAATCTAGGTCAGATCCAGCATTCGAAGCAGGTTGGTTAGTGTACATCCCTAGATGCATCATCCATGAAAGTTTGGTCCAGGTAGGGCTTATAGTTACTTGGAAACGAGACTACTCCTAAATCTAAACCTGGTCTCACATGTGGAAAATCTAGGTCAGATCCAGCATCCGAAGCAAGTGTGGTAGTGTCCATCCCTAGATGCATCATCCATGCAAGTTTGGTCCAGGTAGGGCTTATAGTTACTTGGGAATGGACCTGCTCCTAAAACTTTAACCTGGTCACTCATCCGGAAAATCTAGGTCAGATCCAGCATCCGAAGCAAGTGTGATAGTGTCCATCCCTAGATGCATCATCCATGCAAGTTTGGTCCAGGTAGGGCTTATAGTTACTTGGGAATGGGACTTGCTCCTAAAACTTTAACCTGGGACGCCGACGCTAACGCCGACGCCGGGGGTATAGCATAAGCTCATCTCGACTTCGTAGAGGTGAGCTAAAAACTGAAAAATCAAATTAAGCATAATTTTTCATCTCAGATCATTAATTGATATCTAAACCATAAGATTCAACAAATTTTATCGGAGAAATTCATGAATATACAAAGAGCAAAGCCATACAATGTGGTAGGGGTCAGCCAACATTCGTGATTTTCTATTGTAAATCGAGGACGGTCATTCATTTCAAAGCTTTTGTTTACTGTCAGCCTAACGTTGTACAAACTTGTGTGAACGACAAAAAGCGCATTATACATTTATAAAACTTGTGTGAAAGTAGGAAATTTGTACAAGATTAGGCTTGTACTTAAAATACTAAACATAGGTAATCAAAGATTACGAAGCTCACCTCGACGAATGTTATCTACATCTAAGGCAAATTTCACATCATATTTTTTTTCTAGTTAGGGTACATCCCAAGATCAATATCCATGCAAGTTTGATTTAATTATAGACCTGCTCAAAGAACTTTTGACCTGTTTAGTAATCAAGAAAATTTTGGTCAGTTCCAACATCCAAAGCAAGTCTGGAAGTTTTCATCCTTAGATGCACCATCTATGCAAGTTTAATCATAACAGGCCATAATATTATATAGCTACTCCAAAAAAATTACCCTGGTCACTCATCTGGAAAATGTACATCAGATTCAGAATCCAAGGCAAGTCTGGAAGTGTCCATCCCTAGATACATCATCCATGCTAATTTGGTTAAAATATGGCTAAAATTCACTCATGTGGAAAATCTAGGTCAGATCCAGCATTCGAAGCAGGTTGGTTAGTGTACATCCCTAGATGCATCATCCATGAAAGTTTGGTCCAGGTAGGGCTTATAGTTACTTGGGAATGAGACTACTCCTAAATCTAAACCTGGTCTCACATGTGGAAAATCTAGGTCAGATCCAGCATCCGATGCAAGTGTGGTAGTGTCCATCCCTAGATGCATCATCCATGCAAGTTTGGTCCGGGTAGGGTTTATAGTTACTTGGGAATGGACCTGCTCCTAAAACTTTAACCTGGTCACTCATCTGGAAAATCTAGGTCAGATCCAGCATCCAAAGCAAGTTTGGTAGTGTCCATCCCTAGATGCATCATCCATGCAAGTTTGGTCCAGGTAGGGCTTATAGTTACTTGGGAATGAGACTACTCCTAAATCTAAACCTGGTCTCACATGTGGAAAATCTAGGTCAGATCCAGCATCCGAAGCAAGTTTGGTAGTGTCCATCCCTAGATGCATCATCCATGCAAGTTTGGTCAAGGTAGGGCTTATAGTTACTTGGGAATGGACCTGCTCCTAAAACTTTAACCTGGTCACTCATCTGGAAAATCTAGGTCAGATCCAGCATCCAAAGCAAGTGTGGTAGTGTCCATCCCTAGATGCATCATCCATGCAAGTTTGGTCCAGGTAGGGCTTATAGTTACTTGCGAATGGACCTGCTCCTAAAACTTTAACCTGGTCACTCATCTGGAAAATCTAGGTCAGATCCAGCATCCGAAGCAAGTTTGGTAGTGTCCATCCCTAGATGCATCATCCATGCAAGTTTGGTCAAGGTAGGGCTTATAGTTACTTGGGAATGGACCTGCTCCTAAAACTTTAACCTGGTCACTCATCCAGAAAATCTAGGTCAGATCCAGCATCCGAAGCAAGTGTTGTAGTGTCCATCCCTAGATGCATCATCAATGCAAGTTTGATCCAGGTAGGGCTTATAGTTACTTAGGAATGGACTTGCTCCTAAAACTTTAACCTGGTCACTCATCTGGAAAATCTAGGTCAGATCCAGCATCCGAAGCAAGTTTGGTAGTGTCCATCCCTAGATGCATCATCCATGCAAGTTTGGTCCAGGTAGGGCTTATAGTTACTTGGGAATGGGACTTGCTCCTAAAACTTTAACCTGGGACGCCGACGCTAACGCCGACGCCGGGGGTATAGCATAAGCTCATCTCGACTTCGTCGAGGTGAGCTAAAAATGTATGAAAGTTCAATGTTTTTCCAATAGCAAACAAGAGCTATTTACCTGTATTACCTTTGTTGAACCCATCCGTGGAATAAATTATTTAAAATACCGGTAGTCACGTGAGTTCTACCCAGGTAAATATTTCCACTGTAAAAGATAGCCATGTTTTGTATCATTATATCGAAGACGTGCCGCATAGAGAAGTTTGGATGTATTTGGTTTTATGAACAAGGGAGGGTTAGGAGAGTTTAGTGTCGTTAAAAAATCAGCATACATAAAAGCGTCAATTGAAACATTTTTAACATTCATGCAAGACAATGGTACCGGTAATGAAAGCCACCTATATACACTTTTTTTACATTTTAAGATTTAAAGGAACTAATGTTAATACTTATTGTATTATTTCAAATGCAAGCGTGCAAATTTCTTAGTTTGATCACTATGGCTACAGACATCTATACAACTTCGATTTTTTTTCTCAGGTAAAATAGCGCAAGATTATCATTCGGAAAACGCGCCTGTCAATGATCCACCATCAGATTGTTCAAGTGTCCGATTTAAACGTCTCCTCCCCTTGATTTAAATAAACGAAACTCAAAATAGGTTCGGTACGACTTTTCCGGATTTAAGGTATCTATAGGCATTTAAAAATCTTCATTTGTTTCAAATCCATGCTGATTTAGGTGATGTTTTAACGTGATTTTAATTAGAAATATCCACTTGTGTTTAACTATTACCAAAAAAGAACAATTTGGTAATATCTTCTGAATTAAAACGGCACTGAAAAAGAGCCCATTAAGCATTGCTTAAGTGCACTTGTCCTTTTATTTATTCAAATAACTCTCAGACTTCCTTTAGTTACGGGATAATATTATTTTGTCAACGCGATGCACTGACTCAGTGGTTTTTTGCTGCAATGTCTATTCCCTTCGGAAATGGGAACATTTGGGTGACCTGTTATTTTTGCCTTGATATAATAACTGTGGGGTAGTAAAAACACCACTCAACCACTTAATAATAACCTGTTAATCAAAATTCCCTTCAAATTAGATACAGGGCTATGTGTTCATTATTTAATCATATGACTAAGAGTTTGCATGTTTAGGAGGGTTTTTTTTTCTTTAAGATTTTGGGCCCCAGGGGGTGCAGGCTGGAACCATGACAATATTCTCAAACATAGGTAATCAGAGATTACACAGCTCACCTCAATGGATGTTGTCTTTAAGTAAGGCAAAGTCCCACACTTCTACTAATAATCTAGTAGTGTGCATCCCTAGATGCAACATTTATGTAATTTTAGTCTGATAAGGCTTGCAGTTACTTGGGAATGAACTTATCTAAACACTTCAAACTTATAGTCACTCATCCAGAAAATGTAAGTCAAATCCAGTATCTGAAGCAAGTTTGACAGTGTTCATCCCTTGATGCATTATCCATGCAAGTTTGGTTCAGATAGGCCTTATAGTTTCTTGGTAATGGACCTGCTCCAAAAACTTTAACCTGGACACTCATCCGGAAAACATAGGTCAGATCCAGCATCCGAAGCAAGCCTGGTAGTGTGCATCCTTAGATGTGTAATCCATGCAAGTTTGGTCAACATAGGGCTTATGGTTACTTGCAAGTGAGATCTGCTCCAAAAAATTTAACCTGCTCTAAAAACATTAACCTGGTAATTCTTTTAGCTGAAATTGCAGCATCTGAAACCTTGAAAAATTGGTACAATAAAACATACTAGAAACATCTT